GTAATTCCAAAAGAGATGATTTTACAAGTTGATTGAAGTGAGAAGTTTATTTCGGGACGGAAGGAGTAATAGTATATTGAACAGCCAAAAAGCGCCGGGTTTTATGGCATCTTTTTCTCCTTTGTATTCATATTGCGTAGTAGTAGATAGAAGGACAATTATTATATGTGACTCAGCTTGGGAAATGAATGTTTTTGTTTTCATTTGGAAAATGGCATTTTGATCTAGTGTTTGGATATCTATTTAGTAAAACATTGTAATTGAGGGAAACACTCATTTCCTTTTAAGTAAAGCCATGTTGAGTATATATGTTTTATACTCCGGGTATTATTTCTCTCTTGTAAATAATTTTACATAAAGGTCTTGTTTGGGAAGAACATTTTCAGTTAGCGTTTTAGTTAAAATTTGAATGGTGTAAATTAATTCTAAAAATGTTAACGCTAAAGACCAGATGACTTATTCAAAATGTTAACGCTAAACTCTAACGTTTATGCCAAACGGGGCCAAAACCAAGCAGGCGTTTTCAGCTTCATCAAACGCTCCCAAAATAGCCGCCCCACTCCCAGGATAATGACATTTCATATTCTACTTTTAGAATAAGATTAAAGTTCTATTTTCCAAATCAGATTACTATTCAGGGCTTATTGTTAGTAATGAATTAATGATTGTTGTGAGCATTAATTAAGCTATTAACCTGGCAAAAAGAGCAATAGCGGAGAGCTTTGCGATCGTTTCTCGGAGAAATCCAACGGGCAAAACCAGCGGGGCGGGCCGCCGTCAGATCTGAGCATCTCCTTCGACTGCTGGAGGTAATCCTTCAATGTCAAGCCTCCGTCGTCGAATTCCCGGCCATAGCTATGAGTATTACGTCGTGTCGCCGAATTGCTCGCGGAGGTCCCGCCATCGGAGATGGTTGGGAAGGCGGGTCGGTGCTGATTGTCCACGAAGACGCCTGACTTATTGATGGTGGCCGCACATGCGATCGCCGCCGGCGGTGGATCCTTGTAAGAGCTTGTGGGGGAATGAAAGAGTCTTGCCGCTGATGCCGAGAATCGCAAATTGCAACCGGGAAAGGTGGTTCCGGCAGCCATGGCGCCACTGGGAGCTAACTGGAAGGCGCCAGCTTCTTATTTGAGTCAATCGGTGTGAGATGTGTCGGATTAGCGTCCATTAAATGCCGTAGTAAAATTTTACTTTTTCACACCCTTTGTACTCCCGTCATTGATTTTAGGATAAATTTACTTGTACTACCTCCATAAATATTTGTCACATTTGTATTTTTGAGTTAAAATATCAAATTTTTTCAATTTATTTTGTTTACATATTGATATAAAAATAAAAAATAAAATTTACATATCAAAAAACTACATAAAAAATTCTTCGAAATAAGAGGTGTCAAGAATATTTTATTTTATCAAATAACCAATTAAAACGTAGAAATAAACAAAAGTTTCCGCGACTGGTGAAAAGGCAAGTGTGGCAAATATTTTGGGACGGGGAGTATCTCAAAGATTTACATTTATATTTTATTTTAATGTAAGTGCAAAATTGATGTGATAATACAGTATAATTCATCAAAATATAAGTCTAACTTTTGGGATACACCTAGCATGGTTGTTGATTTTATTAGTGATGGTGTAAATATAGCGGGGTGGGTTAACCGGGTTTGACCTGGACACACTCGACCCGTAATATAAAACACACAACAAGAACACAAAGTATGACCTAGACCGGGTAAATCTCCTCAGTCCGAATTATATTTCTTACTCTATCTCAAGAGTGAACTTTAGTGAGAGAAAAATTGGATCCCCTCCTCTATCCAATATCATCATATTTATAGAGGGGGATTTGTGACCTTCCC